ACCTACATAAAATTCATCTTTGTTTTTATCAAAGTAAACTTAAAAACAGTCGCTATTTTGCCTGGGGGTAAGGGTAAGAAAAATTTTTATCAGGTAAATTTTAGATTTAAAAGAATAAGCCACAACAGAGGCCCCTGAGAGCAGTGAACACCGACTTAAGCAACATAGAGTAAGAATGACTTTCTCAAGGGCTGAGGAACAGTATCTCAATGTCAAGCTCGACTTGAAGCTCCTCTTAATTCTTCAACTTTATTTACTCATAAAGATATTCCGTCATGTTTGGCAGAAGAATTTCCAGTATATTATAAATATATAAATGAAGGCACAGACTAAAGGAAAACAGAGACTAAAACTTTTCCTACGCCATTTATGTTATCGATTTTAAAATCAACCTGTCAGCTGTGCATCGCGATAATCTGAAACAACACCATTGTTTCGTGANAAAATATAAAAATTTTAAAATAAAATATGGTAACAGAGGGGGCCACACGCAGCTTCAAATATTGCTGGAAAAGCTAAGCGACTATTTGCGGATTTTTAAATAAACAAACAGTTGTATCATTTACTATAATGATTTAGTACACGATGCTATTGTACTGTTTTTTATTTGTGTAGATGTACCAAGTAAAGGCATTTTTCAACTTTTGATTGTCAGTTGAATTCCTTCATCGCGTTACCTTATCAACTTCTTTGTACTTTGCTCAGCTTTACACTATAGACTACCTTATCGTATCGTCCTGTCACAACTTTAAGCGATACACTCTGTCTAAATTAATAATTTTTATAAACTATATTCAGGGTTCCTGCTTAAAATTTTGTTTTAATAAAATACTGAATTTTTGTTCTCTTTCTCAACATTCGTTACTTCATGTTCGGTTTTTGACGTTTAATATTATCACTGATTATTGAACATTCCATACGTTTATTTTTCTGTATATTATTTACATATAGGCCTATCTAATTAAAATGGAAAGCACGGGAGGTCAACAGAATTCGTGAAGGTTACCCCCAGTAGCGTTCCCTTTTTAAGCATTAAATGATGGCCAACCTACATAAAATTCATCTTTGTTTTTATCAAAGTAAACTTAAAAACAGTCGCTATTTTGCCTGGGGGTAAGGGTAAGAAAAATTTTTATCAGGTAAATTTTAGATTTAAAAGAATAAGCCACAACAGAGGCCCCTGAGAGCAGTGAACACCGACTTAAGCAACATAGAGTAAGAATGACTTTCTCAAGGGCTGAGGAACAGTATCTCAATGTCAAGCTCGACTTGAAGCTCCTCTTAATTCTTCAACTTTATTTACTCATAAAGATATTCCGTCATGTTTGGCAGAAGAATTTCCAGTATATTATAAATATATAAATGAAGGCACAGACTAAAGGAAAACAGAGACTAAAACTTTTCCTACGCCATTTATGTTATCGATTTTAAAATCAACCTGTCAGCTGTGCATCGCGATAATCTGAAACAACACCATTGTTTCGTGACATTTTCTGGTTTTTATAGTAATTTTTAAATTTGCAATATTTCACTTAAAAATTGTTGTAGATCTGATCTGTTTTTTTGCCTTTTATTATTCACACATCACACTTTACGATTGTTAACATCAAAATATTATATACATTTAAAAAAATTTATAAAATTCGAGAATTCAAAAAATTAAAAAAAGAAATTTTTTTAATAAACATCCGATTAATCTGTTATGTATATTAGATAGATAGGTCTGTATACATTTAGTAGAAAGGAATAGAGGGCTATCCGTGTCAAGCAACAGACTTTACCCTATTAGAAGTCGGAAAGAAGAGTTTAGGAAAGTAAGAAGAAGGAGCAGGAAGAAGAAACAAAGAAGGATAGAAAAGTGGGAAGAAAAGTAGGTCTATATACACACATATAAAAAAACTGCAGCTTTCTAAACCGATGTAGAGAAATAATACGACCTATAGATTATAACGCCGATCGGCGTGTAAGGGGGGTGGTGGTTATTCTAAATTTAGGTCAATACACTTTTTAGTATTTATGATGTATATTTGATTCTATTTATGTTATTTACACTATTGTACTAACAGTGGTATATAACAAGCGATTATTACTTTAATATATTAACGATTATAAGTGTATTTTTTATGTATTACGAAAGTTACATGATAACCGGAAGTACTTTGTTTTTTAAAAGATTTATAATTGGATAGTTTAAAAAACATGCTTATTTGTTAAATAGCATGAATATTTATAAAAATTTACTAAATTGAAGCTAAAAATAGACGAGAATAATGATTTATAATTGTTTATGTTTGTAGCTAACAATGTAGCTCCGATAAAAATAACTTTTTCCCAGAAAGTTCCCACCCCACAAACCCAAGTCAATGCTTATTCGTTAAAGGATAGTCATTTAACTATAATATACCAATTAGAGGTCAACAGACGTGCAAACAAGAATTTTATTGTCCAATGAACGAAAGAAGGGTCTGCCATAGAGTTAACATGGAAAGGAGGAGTTTTGTGGGTAAATTTAAAAATAGGGAGTGGTAACAAATATCTTATTCGTTGAAACAGACTTAATCTATGTAGATAAATGCCAATCAGTGCTTAAATCGCCACCAACTAGTTAATTACGAAAAAAAATTCACACTTACTCCAATTGGAGTACTGCGCAACCGACTGGTTAAAATCACGTGAAAAATTTAAACCAACCACAATACAAGTACACAACAGTTCCAAACTCCATTACAGGGCACCTGCATTGAATTCTTATAGCGTCGTGTATACCTTACGTCACGGGTTAAATTTATTATTTTAGATTTATATTACAGTAGAGCGTCGTTTATCCGAAAGAATTCCAGTCGTCAAGTTTAAATTTTCACTAGTGCTGTGGCGCTGCAATCTTTGCCTACATCTTGGGCTACTCCAATATTTTTTTTTGTTTATATGTGTGTTTTAGCTGGCAGCACTGGCACTTTTGTGCGGTGTTTTTCTGAGGACTGTGTGTCGTTCTGAATCGAACGTTTTTGATACTAGATTAACTTCTAAAGTAGAGGAGAAGGCGGTATTATGGAACCCCAATTACATTTTAGTGAATTGTAAACAAGGTATCATAACTACACCCACATTTTTTGTGCGAAAAGTACTGGTAACTAGTAAACTAAACGTTCCTAATTGGATTTTTCGCTAGTGTAATTATAAGTATGGTTTTTGAAGGCTTTTGTACAAAAAGTCCGAAAGTAGGCTTAGAGAAAATCGGGTGGTAATATGGAACCTTACTGTATATTTTCAAAAAAATGCTTTAATGTAGCCAAAAACAAATAGGAAAGGACAAAAAATGTTAAATAATTACAAAATTATTTACTCCAATGTATTTTATCGCAAAAATGCTTTTATAATAGAAAAATATGACCTCCATCAACAATATATATTCCAGCAGCTCTTTTTCGATATTTTCAGACTTTCTACCTAGTGTCTTTTTCCCAAATTGCTCCGGACGAATGTCTGATTGCAAAGAGAGAGTTCGGAGGAGTTGAGTTCCATATTACTGTAAAAGCACCAAAGGGGTCCGTATTTCACGCATCGCCATCTCGAATTAACTTATGTCTGTCGAGACCAAAATTTAAAAAACGTGAACATCACACAGATTAATATGTACCCCTAAGTCTCTGGAACGGAATACATGCACCAGTGAACCTACAACTACACGATTTATATTTTAAAAATAATTAAATTCATTTAGCATTCAAAACTTGTGAATTTTGGAAAAAACAAATTTGCTGATTAAATACGGACAACCGTTTAACTGAAGTAAAACGGGTTTTCCCCTTGCTATGGATGTCTGCCTAGTTCAGTTCAGCTACATTCCGCTACAGTTCGCCTTTATTATCAGTTCGAAATGGGGTGGTTCCATAATACCCGCAGTGTTCCATAATACCACCTTCTCCTCTATAATTTTTATTGTTTTTATATTTTTCAATATATTTATTTTGCTTTTAAAAAATAAAGAAATTATTTTTAACGATACAATAGCCATGATTATTATTTTAAAAAGTTTGCGTTAAGCTTAACATCGACGAAAATTCAACGCGAAGCGAAACGCAACGGAGAAAAATTTTAACATTGGATAGGTTAATATATTTTTCGTACGTAATCGGTTATCCGAAAAATAAGTTATCCGAACAACCCCAGTTCCCAATTGATTCAGATAAACGACGCTCTACTGTATTCCTTTTTACACATATTTGTATCTGAAATATAAAAAATAAAGAAATAAGGACTGAACATATGAATATAATTATTTTAATACTGTATTAAAACAATTAATAGAAAACAAAACAAGAAAAATGAAACACGTAGTATAGAGAATTATATTATTTTATTATATATTTATTTTATAATTAAAATTATAATAAGAAAATATTTTATTATTAATACTGTACATTTATTTATACATTATATTTAAATGAAACATTACTGACATAGACATAATGTAATCAATAGATTAACAAAATTAAAAGTCTTGACGTCTTTCTTCAGAGATAACATACACAATACAGTTATTTCCCTTTATACTAAAGACTTTGTGTTCACATTGTTAAGTCTGTTTAATGCACGTTATACTTAAAATTAATAATAAAAATATACAGAAGTTCGTATTGTTCCATATCTTCTAGTACATATATTACATTAATACAAACAAAATAGAATAATTATTTTAAAATATGTAAATTATTTCGAGGCATTTCACAAGAACAACTCCATTGGGAAATGTGAATATTTAAAATGTAATTTAAACAGAATTTTTTTTGCCACAAGCATCACATTTCTTAACGCATAAATCGGAATTTGTCTTCATGTGCGTAATTAATCCAATCTGTTTTCTAAATGTCTTCTTGTATATTTTGCATTGTTATTTATTTCCTGTAAAATGAAAAGTATTGATGAGTTTGAAATTCCAAACTCATCAATATCTTTTCATTCCACAGGAAATAAATAGGAAAACAGGTTTTTACAAATGTCACATTAGAAATGAATGTAATTATTAAAAGTAGTCATATGCTTCTCTAAAACCTTCCCACTGGTAAAAGTTTGTTTACATATATTACATTGATAAGGTAATTGGGGTGTATTTCTAAACAAAAAAATTTTAAATGTAATTTCAGTTTAGTTCCCGTTTTAAATTGCTTTTACCATTTCTACAATAATACGCTTAATTCTGATAAACGATTTGATGGCTTAATAAAAGACTTTTAAAATAACATTCCTCATTACATATGTAACGAAGATTGTCTTCTTTGTGATTGTATTCATTACATTTTAATACATGTCTATTGGTAAAAAGTCTATTGCATTTCTCACAACGAAACATTTTTATGTCTTAATAAATATTTTTGGCGATTAATTAATTACTTATTACAAATATTACACTTTTAAATGTGAATTTTCGAATGTTCTTTTAGCGTGGATTCAGTCTTGAACGGCTTGTTACAAATATCGCATAAATACATATTTTCATGTTTAGTTAGATAATGTCTGTCTAAGGAAGTTGTATTGGCGTAACCTTTTTTACATATGTCACAAACATACTTTTTTTCTTTCGCTGTGAATATTTTTATGCTTTTCCAAGAAACGTTTTCTCTTAAAATATTTGTTACACATATGACAAGAATATTTGTATTCGTTGCTGTGTACAGTAATATGCTGTTTTAAATCACCACTTCGTTTAAAACTTTTATTACATATGTCACATGTATAGTTAAATTTATCATTATGAACTACTTTATGACGTGTCAAATACTGTTTTGTTTTAAAATCTTTGTTACATATATCACAAGAATATTTTAATTTCTTGCTGTGTAGACGAGTATGAAGTTTTAAATAAGTACTGCATTTAAAACTTTTATTACATATCGGACAAACATAGTTACATTCATCAGTATGAATTATGTAATGCGTTTTTAAACTCTCTTTCCGCTTAAAACTCTTATTGCAAATATTGCATTTGAAAGGACGGTCTTCACGATGTGTTTGTTCATGTTGAAACAGATATTTCCGCTTAAATTCTTTTCCACATATCTTACAGGCATAAACTTTGTGTGTTCTCTTGTGTCTTTCTAAACGGCCCTTACTAACGCGCTTACCACAAATGTCGCAACACATATTTTTCCGCTGGATACTTTTCCGCCTTGTTTTACTCTTAATACATTTATGCTGTCGCAAATACCGTTTTGCCTTAAAGTATTTCTTACATACGTCACAAAAATGTTTGTTTTCATCGTTGTGTGTATAAATATGCTGATTTAAACCAGAACTGCGTTTAAAACTTATGTTACATATTTCACAAATATGGTTAAATTTGTCATTATGAATTATTTTATGACTTGTTAAACTGTATTTTGTTTTAAAACGTTTGTTACACACTTCACAAGAATAGTTACGTTCATCAGTATGAGTTTCGTGATGGATTTTTAGTTGGTATCTCGATTTATAATATTTGTTACATATATTACAAGAATAATTGTATTCATCATTGTGAATATGAAGAATATGCTTATTTAAATCACCACTTCGTTTAAAACTTATGTTACATATTTCACAAATATGGTTAAATTTATCATTATGAATTATTTTATGATTTGTTAAACTGTATTTTGTTTTAAATCGTTTGTTACACACTTAACAAGAATAGTTACGTTCATCAGTATGAGTTTCGTAATGTGTTTTTAAATAGCCTTTCAATTTAAAACCCTTATTGCAAATATTACATTTGAAAGGACGGTCTTCACTATGCGTTGCTTCATGACGTAACAAATTAATTTTCCACTTAAATTCTCTTCCACATATCTTGCAGGCATAAACTTTACCATTTCTTGGTGATGAATTTACTCGATTTCCAGATGGCTGCAAACGAAAATTCCTATAAAAAATTTCGTTCTCATTTCCAGTTTTGTGTTCTTTTACGTGTCTTTGCAAAAGAAAACGCCACAAAAACTTCTTATTGCAGGATGTGCAGCAAAATGGTTTTTTTCGAATATGACAGAACAGGTGTGTTTCTAATATTCTGTTATTTGTAAAAGTCTGTTTACATAAATCACACTTAAATTCTTGTTTAGAATGAGATGCAAACATAACCTTGAAGTACTTTCTTTTAATTTTCTCATGAATTTTATTGTAATTTTCACTGGAAGGAGCGTATTTCTTCGTGTTGATATTATATTTCAAATGTTTTTCTGAATTGTTCTGAATATCGTGTTTCTCAATTTGCTCTTCGTTCTCAACTGAAAGTTTAAAAAATAGCATAAATGAAGTACCTATTATATTTAGATAAACATAACATTGCTTTCATATTAAAATATTACTGCTGTAGTAATATAACTGGTGAAGTATACCTAGGTTTTTCATTTAAAAGCAAGGCATCATTTGTTGTTCGCACTAAAAATAAAACATTTTACAATCATGAACTGATTGAGTCAGCTTAGAAGAAATCGTGTGCTTTAAGAGAGGAAAAAAAATCATTAGTGTAAAAAATTACTGGATTTTTCGGATCTTTTAAATCAAGATACGATAACTTGAACGTATGTCCAGTAGATGTAACATCATTTAAGAATATTAGCAACGTGTTAGAAAACAAGTTGCTAATATTTACTTATTTATGTCATTAAATAAGTTCTATAGCTCCCGTTTATTTCGTTTCAATACATTTTCTTTATTATTTTTGCGGAACCATAAAAAAGCAACATAACATGAACCATTAAATCACAACTCATGAGTTGTGATTTAATAATTCTGATTTTTCCAACATAGTTTTATTAAGTTCAAATTTATATTAATACGATGCAGGTACAGTACCTACTTATAATTCTCTAATATCACATCCCAGTTAAATGTATGACAGTTGAAACTTGAATGCAGTTCTTTAGCTGCCCTCTAAATAATATTAATATAAAAAGTTTGAATTAAGTAACATGTTACTTACTTTGAATGCTCATTTCATTCCTGTCAGAGTTTTCTTCCAGAGTGAATAATTCATTGTTGACAGGCTAAACAATATACAAACAATATATGACAATCACGAATAATCACTTATGATATATAAAACAGTAACGAGTTGTTTAACTTTCCCGGCAACGTTCCAAACAGGTGAACAAAATCGTGCACTTTTTACCAGTGAAACTGCCAGTGAAAGCTAGGAGAGTTCTTCTGTAAGAAAAGATTTTTACACCTAATGTATTTCACAATTCGTTGTAAAACTGTTTTGCTCATTTTATAACATTAGAGAGGTTGAAGCCGAAGTACAAACTTTAAACTTGTACGGCAAGCAGAAGTACACGTTCGACGTTTGAACTTTAAGCAAAACACTTTGCGCCAACGTTGACGTCGCGCACTGATTAATGGGATATTGTCGAAAAATGGCGGAAATATTTAAGAAAGACGAAGGTTACCAGCGAACGTAAATAACAAGTTAAATTATTTAAAAACATTTTTGAGAATGTTTAATAAAGCCATTGTCATAATTCTAGGATTACAAGATGGAAGCGCTCGACGTTCGCGTTTTAGCCGCAACGTCGCTATTATTTTGTTGTAATCAACTGATGTTTTACAACTGATAAAATTAGAATTGCAGTGTTAATTAATTTGTTATAATCGGTGTTCATCTAACTAATGTCTTCATAGTATTAGAAAAATAAATAAATCTGGTATTTTGTACATCGTCGTTTCAATGGATTACAAAGTAAATTTTGCCAAGGGTTTCGTAAATTTTAGTTCCGCCAGTAACCTTCCTAAACATATGGCTGCATTCATTTTTTGTTATATTCATAACAAAAAAAGTATTTGAATCCGATCAATTTTTATTCTCTGATTATTTGCAAATTTTCAGATTTTGAGATCGAAAAAACATGGCAATAAATACCGTAAATGTGTGGCGTGTATTTTGGATTCTATCTCATTTATTATTTTACAATTAAATATAAAGAAACGAAATTTAGCACCGTACGTCGTGTATAAGGAGCATTAATGCAATTAAATTCTGGTAATAAAATGTCGAGGGGTGAAGAGATAAAAAGAGGTAACGTGAAAAATTTCGAGTCCGATTGCACTGAATGAAGTTTTTCTTTGTTGTTAGCATCTATAATTCTTTGTGAAATGCATTTCTATCATTAATTAAAATTAAAACATTTCTTCATTCTATAATAATTAAAATTATTCAGAGTTTTTATAACATATGTCGTTACACAATTTTATTTATTTATTATGATTAATAATTCAAATGTTATTTTTTAAATAAAATCTCTTAACAGCCAGAAGACTTAGGCAACTCGTTCTTAAATATTTTCTTATATAATACATATTTTCTATTTAATACAGAATACACCTAAATTCAAATCATAATATTGTGTTAGTGATATTAAGCTACGTTTTCAACCATTCAGTAAGCTAATATTAAAATTTCACTGAAAAATATTTCGAAATTTGTATTATTTACTCTTACCTGTTCATTATCATCTGGAAGAACAGCTTCTTTACAATCTTCAGTCTTTACTTCAATCTTCAATTTTTTCAAATCAATTTTACATTCTGATTTTATACCATGTTTTACATCACAATTTACTTTTACTTCTTCTTTCTTGATATCTGTAGTGGAATTTACAAAGTTTTTGTGTTAAAGCATTCTAAGAAAAACTTGAAATATAAAATAAACAGAGCATATGTTCAACATTTAACATAACAATATTAAATTACATGTTTCACTACTTCATTTATTTGTGATTACGAGCCGAAAATTAGCTATTTGTCACTGCGTATTGGTGTGATGTGTGATACAAATTATAATAAACATGATTAGAAACTTTTCGTTATTAAATAAATCAGCAACGAGTGCTTATGTTTTCCGTAAACATTGAAAACTACGTGTAGCGCCATTTTATGATATTTTGTTTAAAATAATTTTATATTTTTAACTGTTATAAAATGAAAAAAAACCTTAAATTTAAGGATAAAGATGAGTTTTATAAGAAATTGTAAATGAGAGAACGAGTAAACTCCTCGTTTACTACGACCCTACTGAAGATAGAGACGACCCCTTCCACCTTAATAAACAAACCTTCCTTCTAAATTTCAGAAATTTTCGTCAAAAAGCACAGTAATTATTTAACTTTAGAAAAGGTTGAAGAAAATCATCGTGCCCCTTCACACACGCTGACATTTAGGGTCGAGTTATATATAACTCCGTATCGTATCCGTATTCCGTAAGAAAAGTTTGGATCGATCAATCTTTTACGGTAACGATACGGAGAAAACCAACTGCGTATGCGCTAAGCCGCATACAATCGGAAGTTGTGCCGAAAGCAACTAACAAAACTTTGAGGGAAACAACATGAATACGACTACTCGTCAAGAATGCGTTGCAGTGATTGCGTTGTTGGCAATAAGTGTAGGTGCTTTTGTCATTAATAAAAAGCGGACAAGTTGACGACGACATCCATGGCAAATACGTCTCATCAACATAAACAGGCCCACTTTGCCAATTCTCGTTATTTCGTCGGATGAAAGACGTCAATTCCGAGGAATTGTCTAAGTACACAAGAATGAACGTGGATCTCTCCCACGAGCTGTAGAGACACCTGTGGAGGAGACTATACAAACCACATGGTCAAGCAATTAATCCAGAAATGAGACTTACGTTGACATTAAAGTNTATTGTTATGTTAAATGTTGAACATATGCTCTGTTTATTTTATATTTCAAGTTTTTCTTAGAATGCTTTAACACAAAAACTTTGTAAATTCCACTACAGATATCAAGAAAGAAGAAGTAAAAGTAAATTGTGATGTAAAACATGGTATAAAATCAGAATGTAAAATTGATTTGAAAAAATTGAAGATTGAAGTAAAGACTGAAGATTGTAAAGAAGCTGTTCTTCCAGATGATAATGAACAGGTAAGAGTAAATAATACAAATTTCGAAATATTTTTCAGTGAAATTTTAATGGTACATGTTCTTTTCCATTTCTTTTGTATTTCCAGATCTGTACAGTACAGAAATATGGGAGGAACATATAAAATCTCTTAACAGCCAGAAGACTTAGGCAACTCGTTCTTGTATAAAAACGAGTTGCCTAAGTCTTCTGGCTGTTAAGAGATGGTACATGTTCCTCCCATATTTCTGTACTGTACAGATCTGGAAATACAAAAGAAATGGAAAAGAACATGTACCATACACACTAAGTTTTTTATTTAAATTTCATAAATTTCCATCTCGCCTGGGCTTCAGACACTGAAAGATGCTATATATTCAAATACCTGCACGTACCATACAGTACATATCTACTCTATATACATTTAAATGGTGACTACATACCTGTCAATTGGACAGTCTCCGCCACGGTCTTCCATGAATTACTTTTCTTTTTAATGTCTTTAAAGTCTGTATGACTTTTATCATAAATAAATAGAAATTATTTTATGACTTGGATTAACAAATTGTCACCAAAATACTCTTCTGACCTCTCCATCGTAGTAAAAGCAGTTAAAAATAGCAGAACAATGAATGATCAAATCCTAACCGTAGTCGATGATGATTGTATGTTGCCAGATCAAGCAAAAAGTAACAAATTGATTGAAAAGTAACTTTTGACTGACGATGCTACTTGTGAATAATATAAAATTTTAAGATAAGAATTATTTTGGTCATAAAAAATAGAAAAACGATAAAATGAATAAATAATTATAGTGTTAGATCTGGCAAAAACTACAGATGATTTTGTGCATGTTCACAATGGACTTGCTCTGTAAACCATACGGAAAAGCCCTTATGATAACTTTTTTAATATCTATCTGTTATTTTATAGTTAAACATTATCATAATTGTAATCCCGCTGATGAGGAGCATAATAGTCCGAAACACAGATATGAACAGATGTATGTGTACAGGTAGCTCAATAAAGAAAGTCTGTTTTCATTAAGAACTTTTTCCTCAATTCTTGCGTAATAACTTAAAAACCAGTATAATTGTCCTATTAATAATTAATGTCCAAGTTGACAAAATATATATTAAGAAACTAAAGGACAGTAAGGCAATAATAATTAATAATAATTGCCCTTACGGTAATTTATAACTATTGATATAGATATCCAGTGTGACAAACATTAATGGATACGGATACGATTACGTTACAGAATTTATAACTCGACCCTTATGCATACAGAAAAATCCCCGAAATTTTTTATCATTTCTCGACGTCTTAAGCTGTCCTAAGTTTAAGAATGTAATAATGTTCGGAGGAAGAGATTATTCTCTAACCGACTTCCTTTATGTTATATACAGGGTGTATCAAAATGACGTTTTAAAAATTTGGAAGATTGTAGAGGATGCAATTTTCAACGTTTTGATTTCAGGAACTCATAGCCGGAAATGTATTATAAAGTTTTTACAGCACTTTGCACTTTGCATTCGGTATGCTAAATGAAATAGCAGAATACAGTATTTATGACAAGTTTTATTGAAAAAACAGTAGAGTACAATCAAACTGTACATCGAATCAGTGGCTGCACTACTTTAGAGTAAATGTTCAATGTGACGACCACCAACTTCGTTACATAATGTGCAACGACGAACCATGTTTTGTCCGACTCTCCGTAGGATGCCACGCTCCCCTCTAATGGTATTAAATGCTGTAAAGATGCGCTCCGTAAGCTCATGAACTGTTTCTACAGGTGTTGCATACACAAGGGACTTTACATAACCTCAGAGGACTTTACATTCAAGAACAATAACATGACGTCAATGAACGGAAGGGTAGCTACCAAAGTGAAGGGCGTTCAAGCACTTCCTACCGCTGTAGAAAGTTTATATCACATTTCCGGCTATGGGTTCCTTATATCAAAACGTTCAAAATTTCATCCTCTACAATCCCCCAAATTTTTAAAACGTCATTCTGATATAACCTGTATAACAACAGAGAAAGTAAAACTTATTTAAAGTGTTAATAACTAAGTTAAAAAAAAATAACTTGGATGGAGCTTATGAGCGTTGTTTTTATAAATCGAGCTTGCTAACGATGAATATTTTACTGTCACTGTGGTACTGGCTCTCATAAGCAAGAAAAAAATGTGTAATGCTATGATATTGCACGTAACTATTTTGAGTTTAATTTGAAAAAAAAAACGAAATCGGCAGAGTTACAAAACTTTATCAGTAAAAATGTTATAATTGGTTATGATGCCATCTGTTATGAGATTTTACGTAAAAATCGTTTTATATTATTAATTATTATAAAATGGCAAAAGGCTGAATTTTGAAAGTACAGATCAGTTTATCAGTTTATCGATAAAAACAATAAAATAAATACCAACAGACTTTTTCGGTATTTATTTAAAAAAATCGAATTTAATCATATAATTGGGCTGTAATTGTAGAAAAAATTGTAGAACTATAAATTCTCACTGTCGTGTGTCTGTGTGTCAGTCCTTTCTTAATCTGGAGAACAAACGAAGATAAAAGCCGAGGTAGGATAATGTGGAAAGATTAGGGGCACGACACATCAATTAACTATGTAGGAACTTTTGGTAAAAATCGAAAGTTACGTTATTTCAATTAAAATCTTTACTCCCGAAAACAGTTAATAAATGACCGGCACAACTGCATTGTTAAAGGCAAAGTATAATGAACAGAGACAAGCCACTATTAATTTGAGATGAAGAACATATCTTATGAACTAAATACATTAAAAATATGATTATAAATTGCAGCCCGGCATTGTGACGATGCCATAATAAACAATTTCTCTTTTCATTGAAATCTAAAATATCTAAATTGGACTTTTCTCTGTTGTAAGATTCTCATCAATTGAATTGACAATTTTAAATCTGTCAACTGAATTAATTGTTATTGATAATATTAAATTCTATTTAAATCCTTATTCACTATTCGACATATTCGCAACGTTTTTCAAATGTTATCATTTCCATTTATATGAATGTAAATTTACCAATTGTTCTTATCAGTAGGAATATACTTTCATGATATTAAAAGTATTAAGCCACCTCTTTCGATTTTATAACCAGAATGACTCCAAATATTGGATCCGTTTATGTTGTTTGTGAAAATTGGTTTTCCTTTAATATTAATCTGAAATAATAAAAGTTTAAGTTATATTATTAGACAGATCGATCTTTATAGAAAAACAAATGAAAAAACTAATTAAACTGAAGCATAGAAATACACTTACTAAATATATATATTTTTAAATATGGCCTACTAATTACTTTTAATGGTAGTGCTTGTCATCTATTTAAGATCTTTCAGAGAAAAAATTTTGAATTCAAATAACATGAATTCCTCTTTTTTAGCAAAGGTATGTATACAGTTTATCGGAACCTCCTGCCCAATTAAATGAATCTGATACTATATGATTATGTAAATAATAGATTATTAAGAATTGAGCTGCAATTTGAAAATATATTTATAAATTCCCACTTTTTTTAGTCTGTACGACTGTTTGACAGTCCATTCTTAATTTCGACAACAGACTTAAATAGCTGAAAGCCGAGACAAGATGTGGAAATTTTAAAAGAGGTTTCGACACAAGAACTTCCGACGAAAATTGAAAGTGACGTTATTTAGATTCAGAAAGTTTCCTCTGAAAAAAGTTAAATACGTAAACGTCACGACTCTATCACTAACAGCAATAGTATAATGTATACGGGCAAGCCACTGGTAATTTCAGGTAAAGAGAATATATTTTAAACAAGCTGCAAGTACCCGCTTCTCTGGGTTTTTATTTGTTCGTACATTTATATGTAATATAATTTTATATATTTGTATATAAAAGACTGTTTCTTTTCCTCTACATAATCTTTCTCTGATTGGATGTGTTTCCCTATAATTTTCAAGTTGCTCTTTTGTCTGATTATTTCTGTTTCGTTGATAATTTTCTCGTAGCAATGTTAGATGTACTTCTCTTTCTTTCGTGGTTTCATTTTTCCGCGCCATCTTCTGCCTTTGAGATATGATTCGAGACCGTAAAAATTCTTTCTTACTCTTTGGCATTGTTTTTTTATACTTTTACTTTTCACACTTCACTATTCACTTTTTACTTTTTACTTTTTCTCTTATTCGTACACTTTTCGTCACACGTCTCCAAAAGCCATCCTTACTACTCACACATAACAGTGTGAGTAGTGAGGATGGCTTTTAGAGAGTAGTGAGAATGTTTCGAATAGTCGTTAAATGAGGTTTGCGTAAAAGTTATACTCGCGAAGATGGATTTTTGGTCAGAGAAAAAAAAATTGTTTTAATTTTTCGCAAAAAGAATAAGTTATTAAGAAACACATCAGAGATGAGTAGCCACGTGACCGAATAGAACCAACAAATGTCACGTGACACGCTTCGTACGTGTTTGCCGTCTGATGTGCCTCTCTGCCAGGAAAACAAGCTTAAGCAATGGCATCTTCTAACGATGCACACTCCGTAAGTATCCCTACAATTTTTTGTTTATAGCATAGTTTATATTGATTATTCCCAAAAGTTTATACGTGTTTTGGAAATAGTTCGAGTCAAATTAGTCAAAAATCGATTAATTTTATGGAAGAAAACATTTAAAAAAGAAAACATTTATCCCTAAACTAAATAAGTATACTTTTTAAAACGAACACCGTGATCAAAACGTCAAAATTTTTTGTAAAGAGCCGAAATGCTTTTACTTTAAATCGAAAACAATGTAGCTCAGTTGGGTCATTATTTATACAAATATACTATTCAAAAATATATTTTTTCTCTATTTCCAATTTATATTATAGCCTATAAGCCGCGTTTCTCGTCCATAAAGCAACACTGCGATCTTACAATAAAGTATTTTTCACTCACCTTTAACGGTTCCGATTTAATTGTTTTATAACACTTCACATCCGTATTAAATTCTTTCTTGAAATTCTTTAAATCAACTTCAAATTTCTTTTCGATTCGTTCAGTTGTACAGTCCGAATGTTCTGTTTCTAACTCTTGTTTTATCTTCATTTTCTCGATTTACGATATTCTCGTATGTCAACAATCTGTATTCAATCAAATAATTAATTAATAAATAAATGTTTATTCGAAATTTACAAGTAACAAAGAAAGACGATAAACTCATAACTACTGTTCCCGTTGTAGTAGTAAACAAGGGTGCACCCTCAAGGTTAACGTAAGAAACACCAGTGATGACACGTCACCAGCACACGTGATACTTTGCAGCTATAAATTCACGTGTTATATGGTTAATAGTATTGATCTTAGAACGCAATTATGAATGTTTATAGAAAGAAACTAAAAATGAAATATTTAATCATATCCTTAAAACCTAAAAACTATTCGGTTTACATTATACTAGGTATAGGAGCGGATCTAAGTTTTTCGGAGAATAGGGCTTATTAAATTTTAATGGGGCCCCATTTTCGTTAAATTAAGAGGTTTAAAATTGGGGATTAACATTTATTTTTAATAACATGAAAATCAGAGTTGAAATATATATATTTATGAAATGTTAATAAAAAGCGTATTAAAATTTATGATAATAATTCAATTTTTATGCTCCCTTCACACTTGTGGGCCAGAACTTGAGTCTTATTAACCTCTATGTATTAATATACATAGGGGTTAAGAAAGTAGCCTAACTAGGTAGCCTGATAGTTCAATTTTAAATCTATTATAATTAAAAGGTAAAATAAAAAATAAAAAGTAGTTAAATTTATAAAATAAATAAATGAAACTACTAAAACATGAAAATGAATATAAATTTGATTATCATTTGTGCGAAACAACACTAAAATAATTCTTAAAGCTATGTGGAAAAAAACGACAGTTGCAATTAATTAAAAGTAGTACAATTAATGCAGAAAATTGAATGGAATACGTAAAGATTTAAAGTTCATAATTTACTTTTAACAAAAGTTTATTATATTTGTTCGATATCTTTTTCTATTTTTGTAAAACATACGAAATTAAAGGAAACACTTCCTTTTCTGTTAATGTATACCAACGCTCCCTAACCCATTTTTCCTTGTGTGAGAGACTTGGAAATATTTTTACGAAAAACTTTTCTATAAAATTCACACTTTGTGTCCTTACCGTACATTGTTCTTCAAATCCGGAATTCATTAAACGCAATGTTTCTTCACACACGTTTTAAGAGTTAAACAAAAGATTATCAATGACCTCAACCTTTCCCTACGGTCATCGTCCAATACTCTGCCTCCAGTGCCCCCTGTCACCCAATTCCTTTTTTTCGCCTCCTACATTTACTAGCCATCAACAGGGGGCTGCTTTTAGGGACAACTGCGCTAAACAGTCCAACTTCCGACACGTGTTGGTAGAGTAGAAATCTTGTTTCGACAGTTCTAATTGGAAGAGTTCTGCGTTTTAAAATGAGTTCACCTCACACAGTTCCGTGGAGTCTGCCACGTAAAACTTGTTGCCTGTGTGAAAGAAACACAGAGTATCCGCTATAATTCCTAAATCTTCGGCAAACAGGAAAAATAAGGGAAAAATTCGAAGACCAAGAGAAATATCTCCGATTTAAAAAATAATTGTGAAAACGTTACAGAGTATATTATATTTACATTATTCTATGAACTATCTATGAATGGAAATAGAGGGAAATATCTCCCTCTATTTCCATTCGAAAGGGAAATTCGATAGTGGGATAAACCAGCAACTTTCGCACCAACACAAGAAATTTTGCTGGCGTCATCTGTTATCATTTATTCTTCTATATTTAATTTTTCCTAGTTATAATTTAGCCTGCAAACTTTAGTAAGGAGTAAAATCGTCATTAAGTACGCCATGACGCGTCTCTATCAACCAATAACGGTTCGTCTGGTAGTCACGTGAGATAATAAAATCAATGGCAGAATGAATGGTGCGATTACATGAAATGACTGACATTAGATAAAAGAAAAGATAATAAATTTCACACAAATTCTACAAAATATTCACATATAATTTAATTCAAAGGAAAACCCAAACGAATGTTAGTCGAAATAGTATTGTTTATCGAAAGATCTTGATCGAGGAATAAACGTATTTTACACTAGTTCGTCCTCGATCCAAGAAAATATTTCTCATTCAAAACCTCCGACAAAATTTTCTTGTTAAATAAAGCAAGCCATAAAAAAAAAAAAAAAAAATTTGTAAACACGTGGATAACGGCAGTGTCGGTATTGTTCCGTCATAGTAAATACTGTACGCATGCGCCGAAATGTAAGTAGGTTGTGCCACTTACCGCTTGTGCCACCGCGCGACGAAAATGCGTTTGCGTCGCCGTTTTCCATGTCACGCCACGTGTGTATCCATCCTAATGGAGATACATACGACTCCCATTAACTGTCCACTCTATCGACCTTACATCATCGAAATTTAATATCATCAATCCCCTAAATGAAAAGAGAAAACCTAGAAAAGGACTGACGATGTATTAACGGTGTTTGCCAGACGAGTGATAAAAACGACGAGAATTCTATGAACAATAGTTGTTTATCATATATCACGTGGGTTTCGTAGCTACTATGACGTGAGTTGGTGACGCACTACCTCTTGACTCTTTTCTATTGACTTTGAATTTGCATTCCCTTTTTTTACTGCTACAATGCGAACAAAACAACTGAGTTTACTTGCCTGTCTTTGTTAGGACTTTCATACTATGGCCGACTGGTTCGACTGGTCCGACTCCAAGACGTGTTTACATGGCAACAGCAGTCAGGTCGTTCTAGATTCGACAGATTTAAAAACTTAAATAACTTGTAACTTGTCGGAGCAGTCGGTCAATGTGAAATAGGCCTTACTCATTTAAAAATTCGAGTGAATTTATTGTGAATATTTATTAATTGACATCGATTAGTGACAGTCTATTCAAGTAAAAGAGGTGTTTCGTACTGTATACATTATTTATTTGTTTATCTATTCATGCAAATATAAATTCAAACTCGATGGTTTTAAAACCTTCTGTCAATAATCTGTTTTCTATTTAAAACAGTTATTTCCAGGATCCTTTATTACGTCATTAGATTTGGATTTATTTAATATTCATTACTACTTATTGATTATTATTCGCAGCAGTTACCTGACTTCACTTGTGATATTAACTGGGCTAAATAAATTTCAAACCTGTAGACTGCTGTTATAAACCGTGTGTTCGTGTCCTTCCTTACTCTCAAAACGGAGTTATGTAGGTGAAAATCGAAAACTTATTTACCGGAGGCTCGATTAACCGTAGTCACGTGTTTATAAATTGAAATATGATTAAAAACTGCAACCAATATATATAATTTTTAAACTCGAATTGCTATGAATAATTGTAAATAATACAATTGAGTCGATTACCCTAATGGAATCGTCAAAACAGACAAACATGGCAAATGTAAATTAGAGAGTCCCACGTGAAATATTGACTTCTTGAACTGTGGGAAGGGGAGGAGTTGACCTTCAGTGAGGCCATCGTTTATTCAAGGTCTGCTTGTAACTCCCGTTCAATAATCGCGATGTCAGACTACTGGTCATTTACAGTTTACTGGACAACGTGGTGGTGGATACATTGAAGCTTGTCTTTCTGGTTTATTTTATAAGTTTATCAATTGGATACTATTTAGATATTTATATTCATATAATTTATCAAAGGTAAGAGATTTTTTTTGATTATTAATTATATAAAAGTAAGAAAATTAGGGGTATTTTAAGTACATAACTAATTATTATATAGACTATAATAAGAATATTTAGAAGTTCAGACTATTTACAAAAAATTTAATTTTTGAGTCTATCTATTAATACATTAACACAACCACCAGAGGGTTGTAATTGGAAGAAAAATATATCCGGAGTTCACCATGAAATTGTATAATAAGAATATATTACTAATTCTTTTACATTATAACTAAAACGAATTTAAATATGTATTTACTTAATAGATGCCCCAAAGATGCTGTGTGACAGGCTGTAAAAGCAATTACTCATTTACAGAGTACACAACAGTTTTCTCTTTCCCCAAAAGTAAAGACATAATTAGTAAGTGGATTAAAGCTATACCACGTAATGACCAGGTGTTTGGGGACGGAGTCGGAGTCGGGAGGAATTTCTGGCCAGAGGAGTCGAAGTCAGAAAAATGTGTCGACTCCGGCATTTTGAATTCAATTTACGAGGGTGGTTTTTTTCTAAGATTCGATGGTCCATAAAACAAAGACAAGTGTAACTAACAAAATGAATTTATTACCAAAAGTTAGCTACAAACGTGGTTACTTTTCGACATAATCACCGTGAAGGTTGAGGAATTTGTCATATCTGTGGACGATCTTTTCCATCCCCTTGTAATAGAATGTTGCTGCCAGTAAATTGAGATGGCTTTAACGACGTTGTTTTAAAGATCGTCATTAGTTATATTAGTCTCAAACCTCTGCCCTGCACGCCACGTCTTTAGTTCAGGAAAGAAGTGGAAGTCTTCACCACCTTTAATTAAATACCCAGCATATAGCTCCGATTTATCGACGAGCGACTTCCACCTCTTTCCAGAACAGGAAAAGTGGTTAGAAAGGGAAAGAAAGGTTTGAGACTAATGACGATCTCGAAGAAAACTTAGTCCAACTAAAAAGTGTGCTGATCGCACACGTGTTAGTTGGACTAAGTTTTCTTGAAAAGTGAAATTGAAGTGCGAAAGCTGTAGAATAAAGATATGTAGATGTAGAATTTTATCGCTCCCCCTTTTTCCTGTTATTAAATATTTGTTAAAAATTAATTTTTTACACAAATAAATAATAATGTAAGTTAAATATTAAAAATACTAACTATAAAAGTATTTGGGTAAATGCTCGGGGCTCGTTTTAGAGTTCAGAGTAGGGTAACCCACTATGAGTGTCTCTGCTTCCCAAAAAATGACTTGGTATTTAATTTTATTAGAGTCGGAGTCGGCTTACTAAAATTATCGGGAGTCAGAGTCGGGTATATTTTTACCGACTCAGCAGCCCTGGTAATGACTTTTCTCCTTCTAAAAACAGTGTTGTGTGTATTAAACATTCTGATGACAAATTTATCATCAAAGAATATAAAGTAAAAGGATCATAATTAATAATTTCTAGATTAAGACCAAAACCAACTGAAGATGCCTACCCTTCTACAGTATATTTCCAAATTCCAAGTTATATTAAGCAAATTGATAGAGAAGGTCTTCCATATCCATCTGATTTATTTCTCTCCTCAACTGTTAAATTATATAAGCTTTTTCAATGCTTATTACAAGCTAAATATGAAGATCAATTTCTACAGTGCGAAAACAAAAAGAATTATTTATTAAACTTTCATTTGAAAGGTTTGAGCTAATTGATTTAGTATCTGTCAGTGTTTCATGTATCTGTGAAACAATGATTTAAAAATATTTTTGAAATATAATTTCAATTATTTTTAAAAATAATTATTGTCATGCAAGAACATCAACCTTGAAAGAAATGCCTGAAAGAAAAAGGAAATTACAAACTTACAATAAATTAATTACTTTAAATACTTTACCTACAAATTTCCATTCACTTCCACTTATTCTCATAACAGATGAAAATATTATATCTTTAGTGATAAAGATTTAATGGGGAAGACATGTATTGAACGTTCGCAGAGGGGAAAAACTTGAACAGACTGAAACAATGAGATAGAAGGTGTAAAAGTGTCAAGAAAAATGCGCACGTAATTTATGGACAGCTCCTAAATATTACATTTATTATAAGCCAGAGCTGAATTTATTTTGATTACAAGTAACAGAAAAATATAACTAAATAAAGAAGAGTCGAAATGGATATTTTAAGTTTTATATCATAGAAATGGAATGGGAGAATAATTTACAAAGAGTTTGCTCTGGGCGATGATGAATCGGCCAGTCAGTTAGGATATGTAATTTTATATACTGTATATAGATTTAGTCCAGTAAAAACCAGGAGAGCAGTTCTACAAAAGATTTTTACAGCTATTGAATTTTCTAATTCGTTATAAAATTGCTGACTTAAGCAACACAGAGTAAGAATGGCTTCGTCAAGGGCTGAGGAACAGCATCACAACATCAAACTCGAATTGAAGAACCCTCTCAATTCTTCAATATTTATTTTCTCAAAAAATATTCTGTCATCCTTGCAGGGAGAATTTCCAATATATTATAAATATATAAACGAAGGCACAGACTAAAGGAAAACAGAGACTAAAAACTCCCTACGACATTTGTTATCGATTTAAAGTCACGTAATAAATTTAAAGCAATCAATAACGATTATGCATACAGATATATTTATTTTAATACTGTATTAAAACAAGAAAAATAAAAACAAACATGTAGAATAGAGTATTTATTATAACATTTTATTATTATTAATACATTTCATTAAACATTACTGACATAGTCAGATTGTAATCAATAGATTAAATCACTTTTATCCTGAGATTATTTCCAAGAATTATACAATATTTGCCAATAAGGGTTAATTAAAAGTCTTCACATCTCTCTTCAGAAATAACATACACAATACTTTAATTTTTATTAAACATATTTTCATGTTTACTGCGACAATGTCTGGCTAAGGCACTTCTTCTGGTATAACCTTTTCCACATATGTCACAAACATAGCATTTTTTATCGCTATGAATAATTTTATGCTCTTCCAAAGAATATTTTGTCTTAAAATATTTGTTACACGTATCACAAGAATATTTGAATTTACACATATGCTGTTTTAAAGTAATACTGCGTTTAAAACTTTTATTACATATCTGACAAGTATAATCAAATTCATTACTATGAACGACTTTATGAAGTGACAAATACTGTTTTGTTTTAAAACGTTTGTTACATATGTCACAAGAATATTCGTATTCATTGATGTGTACATAAGTATGCCGTTTTAAACTAATACTGCGTTTAAAACTTTTATTACATACCTGACAAGTATGATTAAATTCATCATTATGAATTAATTTATGATGTTCCAAATAGATTTTTCTTTTAAAACGTTTGTTACATACCTCACAAACATAGTTACTTTCATCAGTGTGAGTTTTCTGATGCCTTTTTACTTCGCGTTTCAATTTGAAAGTCTTATTACAAATATCGCATTTGAAAGGACGGTCTTTACTATGCGTTGCTTCATGAAATAACAACCTACAATTCGTCTTAAATTCTTTACCACATATCTTACAGGCATGCATTTTGTGTATTCTCTTGTGTATTTCTAAACGGCCGTTACCAAATGGAACGCGCTTACCACAAATATCGCAATACAGGTTATTACTATGAATAAGTTTATGCTGTGGCAAATAGCTTTTTTGTTTAAAAGATTTGTTACATATATCACAAGAATATTTCTGTTCAGCTTTGTGTATATTATTAATGTGATTTTTTAATTCACAATTGCGTTTAAAACTTTTGTTACATATATGACAAATATGGTTGAATTTATCATTATGAATTATTTTATGATTGTTTAAAGTATCTTTTAATTTAAAACGTTTATTACATACCTGACAAGCATACTTAAGTTCGTCACTATGAGTTTCGTAATGCCTTTTTAAACTGCCTCTCCATTTAACACTCTTATTGCAAATATCACATTTAAAAGGTCGTTCTTCACTATGAATTTTTTGATGCGTATTTACTTTCTCTTTCCACTTGAAACCCTTATTACAAATACCGCATTTGAAAGGACGATCTTCACTATGCGTTGATTTATGACGTAACAAATTAGCTTTCCAATTAAATTCTTTTCCACATATCTTGCAGACATGAACTTTACCATTTTTTGGAGATGACTTCACTCCATCCCCAGATGGCTGCAAACGTAAATTCCTATGAGAGATTTCGTTTTGATTTCCGGTTTTGTGTTCTTTCACGTGTCTTCGCAAAAGAAAATGCCACAAAAACTTCTTATTGCAGGTTGTGCAACGAAATGGTTTATTACCAATATGACAGAACAGATGTGTTTCTAATATTCTGTTATTTGTAAACGTCTGTTTACATAAATTACACGAAACTTTTTCTTTAGAATGAGATGCAAACATAATGCTGAAGTATTTCCTTTTAATCTTATCATAAATTTTATTGCATTTTCTACTCGAAGGAACGTATTTGCTTGTTTTGATATTATATTTCAAATGTTTTTGTTTTTCTGAATTGGGCTGAATATCGTGTTCCTCAATTTGCTCTTCCTCCTTAACTGAAAGATTAAAAATAACATAATAAATTACCTATAATATTTAAATAAACACAACATAAGTTTAATATTAAAATGTTACTGATGTAGTATATCTATGTCTTTCATTTAAAAGAAAGGCATAATTTGTTGTTTGCACTAAAAATAAAACATTTTACAATCAAACTGATTGATTTAGCTTTAGTTTCTTTATAAGACTTTTAAATGCGAGTGAGAAATTAAATTGTTTCACTTTATCTGTTTTTATTTTATTTATTTATGTAGTTTATTCCAGTTGTTATCATCAAAACGTAGAAGAAACTGTGTGCTTTTAGAAAGGAAAAGAAGTACCTTCAAGTACAGAGACAAAATCGGTGGATTATTAGGAGTTTTTAAATCAAAATTCGACAATTTCACCTTATGTCTAGTAGATCTGTACAACGTTTTTCAAAAATATTTGCTACCTGTTAGAAAACACGTTGCAAATATGTATTTATTTATGCCATTAAAAAATTTATATAGCCCTCGTTTATTTCGTTTCAATACATTTTCTTTATTATTTTAGCGAATCCATGAACAAAGAAGATAAGATAAATCATTAGATCACAATTAATGAGTTGTGATTTAATGATTCTGATTCTTTTAACATACTTTTATTAAGTTCAAATTCATATTAATGCTACGTAGGTAGTTACTTATAATTCTCAAATAGCTAATCCTAGTTAAATGTATGACAGTTGAAACTTGAATACAGTTTTTCAACTGCCTTATAAATAATACAAGTATAAAAAGTTTGAACATGTTACTTACTTTGGATGTTCATTTCATTCCTGTTAAAATTTTCGACGGGCGTGAAGAATTCATTGTTGACAGGCTAAAAAATATACAAACAATACATGACAACCACGAATAATCACTTATGATATATAAAGTAACGAGTTGCTCAACTTTCCCGGCAACGTTTTAAAATTTTGGCTATCTGTAATAAAACGTTGTTTATATAAATTTTGATGTTTTTGACTATTATAGAAAGGCAAAGAAGTAGAAATGCGTTTTATATATTTAAAAAATGTTAAATGCAAATAACAAGTAAAATCACCATTAAGTCTGACCCTACTGGAGATACACACGACCCAATTATCTCCACTCCGTCTCGATTTTTAAGCAGCAAAATTTAATAGCCTCAATTTTCATAATAACCAAACTTTCCTGCAAAATTTCAGAAATTTTAGACAAAATGATCAAAAGTTATTAATTAATTTCAAACCGGGTGAACAAAATATTGCCCCCCACACACTAACATTCATACATAAACATAAAAACCCAAGATTGTTTCGCATTTTTCGACGTTTAAAGTATTCTAAGTTTAGAAATTTAAAAACTTGGAGAATAATTTTTGACCGATCGTCATAATTTCCCTTTGTTATAGGGAAGACCGGGGCAAGATCGGCATGTTAAGCTTTACTTAAATTCTGTGTAATAAATACTGCTGTAAACTGAAAAAAAGCTTTGCATATTGTCTATTGGAATGTTTTCTTACTATAGAACTGGTTAAAATCAGTTTGGAAATAAAAATAATTAAAATAATTACAACTTTACAAGAAGAGAGAAATTGACGAAGTTGCCCCGGGTATAGGGGCAAGATCGGCAACTTCTCTCTTTTTGTAAAGTTGTAATTATTTTAATTATTTTTATTAAAGTTGCCCCTGGTATAGGGGCAACAGTAATGGGGCAAGATAGGCACGTATATAAAATTATGTTATTAACAATGTATAAGTTGGAATTCACTATTAAAACAAAGAAATACAAATCCAACACCCATTTAATATTATTACAACGAAATGCAAGTTCAAAGACATATATACATGAATAACAAATGCAAACATGTTTTCATTTATCATCTGTTTGATTTTTATCCTTTGCTTCTAATGTGGCTTTATGTTGCCGATCTTACCCCGCTAGTCATGATTTCGAAACATTAAGTACAACCCTGAGAACAGAATGCCAAGCCACGATCTGGCCACGTGAATAAGTTGAAGTTACATCCTTCTAACAGGAAAAGTAACTTTCGTTATCATGGAATTATAACAAAACCTGCCAATTCAATATAAATGGAAAAAAAATATTATATGGAATTGAACGAAAATGAAAATTTGCTTGATAATTCAACTACGCTTGTTGGAGAACAATAAAAACACTACACTCAACAAGCCACCAATAAAACTCAACTGCCTAACCTATAACCAAAGTCTCCCTTTAATTTGTTTTTAAAAAAAAGCGCTTGACAAACTTGCCCCGCATGCCGAAGTTGCCCCGACCTCCCCTATATAACAGTCAGAAAAGTAATATAAGTGTCATTACACATTTATAAATTACAAATCCGTCTTTTGTGATTTCATATATACGCTATATATTAGAAAATTGCATTAAAATTGTTTTGAAAATTTTATAGAAATTATTTAGTCTTTTGGGGAAATTAACAAAATAACAAGCGAGATTCTTCACTTTCTATCTTGTCCATTGAAAAAAAATATTACTAATGAAGTAGGCTGATTCTGCTACAGATCTATGTTATTTATATAGTAATTAGCCCAGTGAAAGCCAAGAGAGTAGTTCTGCAAAGAAAAATATTTACACCTAATTAATTTTACAATTCCTTGTAAAACTGTTCTGCTCATTTTATTACATTAGAGAGGTTGCAGCCAAAGTTTAAACTTTAAACTTGTACGGCAAGTAGAAGTACACGTTTGACGTTTTAACTCCAAGCAAAACACGTTGCACCACAAGATAACGATTCATGGGATATTATCGAAAACTGTCGGAAACATTTAAGAACGACGAAGATTATCAATAAAAGTAAATAAACAAGTTAAACTATTTTAAAATATTTAGAGAATGTTTAATAACACTAAATAATGATTTTTTACTTTCATTAGCGTCGTGACTACGATGTAATAGTAAAACAATTCCATAGCGTTTTGCCTGTTTTCATGACATACTATCCTTGAGGAAAATAGCGGCTTATATAATTCCGGAAGCAGCTTGGGAAATTATTTTTAGAAATTTACAAACGTGTTATGGTGTTGATGGTAAAAGATGCCCTAAAGAACACAGTATTATAATAAGCTGTAGTGAACACAAATACATAAAAATCCTATAGGGACTTTAAATCATTTTCAAAATAATTGAATAACTAAATAATTTCTGGGTTTAAATCGTCTGTTTCTTTACAATGTTATTCACAAGTGTTTAAATACTCATTATTTTAATAAAATACGTCATAAATTTAACACCCCGAATATAAAAAAAAGCAAACGTTTAAGCTAAACATCTACTCGCCATGTTCGACGTTCGAAACGCCATTGTCAAACTTATAGGATTACAAGATGGCGGCGCTCGACGTTCAAGTTTTAGCAATGAAAACTTGGGCCGCAATGTTTCTATTCTTTTGTTGTAATCAACTGCTACTTCACAACTCATTAAAATTATAAATATCAGTGTTTATTAATTTGTTATTATCTGTGTTTATCTAATTACTTTTCATAGTAATAGAAAAATAAACAAATCTGGTATTTTGTACTATCGTCGTTTCAATTGGTCACAAAGTAAATTTTGCCAAGGGTTTCGTAAATCTTAGGTACGCCTGTATGTCGGGTAACCTTCGTCAACACGCGCCGCATTCACTATAGACATGACCCATCTTTTGTACCCAAAAAACTTTCCGTGAGTATGTATGTGTGGGCGTGTATCTTGGCCTTTATTTCACTTAATATTTCAGAATAAATTGAAGATTAAGAAACGAACGTTGTGTATAAGGACGTTATGTATAAAAAGCATTAATGCTATTAAATTTCAGTAAAGAAACATCGAAGAGTGAAGAGATATAAAATGGTAAAGTATAAAATCTCGAGTAGAATAAGACATAATGAAGATTTTAATTNTAAATTTACCTCTCTCTCTCTCTCTCATCCGCGAAGTCGAAGGTGTTTTGTAATTTTTTATTTTATTAAACGGTGTGATCACTCGACTTTGCCAACGCCTTATCGTCGTCCCCTCCGACTCTCCTCCACTCGCGTAACGCGTAACGCGTAACGGAACGTAACGCCATCCTAGACAAGAATGTAGGTCACTGACCTGTGGTCGGCAAAGAGAGGAACCTCTTCTCTCCCCGGCGGCTCACAAACGTAATAATATAAATGTTATTTTTTAAATAAAATCTCTTAACAGCCAGGAAACTTACGCAACTCATTGTTAGATTTTTTTCTTATACAGGGTGTATCAGAATGACGTTTTAAAAATTTGGGGGATTGTACAGGATGAAATTTTGAACGTTTTGATATAAGGAACCCATAGCCGGAAATGTGATATAAACTTTCTACAGCGGTAGGAAGTGCTTGACCGCCCTTCACTTTGGTAGCTACCCTTCCGTCCATTGACGTCATGTTATTGTTCTTGACTTCTTCCTCTGAGGTTATGTAAAGTCCCTTGTGTACACAACAACTGTAGAAACAGTTCATGAGCTTACGGAGCGCATCTTTACAGCATTTAATACCATCAGAGGAGAGCGTGGCATCTTAGAGAGTCGGACAAAACATGGTTCTTCGTTGCACATTATGTAACGAAGTTGGTGGTCGTCATATTGAACATTTACTCTAAAGTAGTGCAACCACTGATTCGATGTACAGTTTAACTGTATTCTACTGTTTTGTTAATAAAACTTGTTATAAATACTGTATTCTGCTAATTCATTTAACATACCGAATGCAAAGTGCAAAGTGTTATAGAAACTTTATATCACATTTCCGGCTATAGGTTCCTTATATCAAAACGTTGAAAATTTCATCCTCTACAATCCCCCAAATTTTTAAAACGTCATTCTGATACACCCTGTATAATACATATTATTTATTTAATATAGAATACACCTTCATTCAAAGCATAATTTTATATTAGTGATATTGAGCTATGCTTTAAACTGTTTATTCAGAAAGTTAAGTTAATATTAAAGTTTCACTGTAAAATATTTTTAAATTTGTATTAATTACCATCACCTGTTTATTATCATCTGGAAAAACAGCTTCTTTACAATCTTCAGTCTTTACTTCAATCTTCAATTTTTTCAAATCAATTTTACATTCTGATTTTATACCATGTTTTACATCACAATTTACTNATTCAGAAAGTTAAGTTAATATTAAAATTTCACTGTAAAATATTTTTAAATTTGTATTACTTACCATCACCTGTTTATTATCATCTGGAAAAACAGCTTCTTTACAATCTTCAGTCTTTATTTCAATATTCAATTTTTCCAAAACAACTTTACATTCTGATTTTATACCATGTTTTACATCACAATTTTTCTTTACTTCTTCTTCCTGGATATCTGTAGCGAAATTTACAAACTTTTCTTGTTAAAGGATTCTAAGAAAAACTAGAAATATAAAATTAAACCGAGTATATTTTCATTAATTAACACAATAATATTAACTTACATGTTTCAATGTAAGTTAACGTTACATATTAGTTTTCGACTTGTACATGTTTTAACTTATGTGTACAAGTCGAAAACTAACTACGAGTCACGGAAAATTGATGTTATGTGTGATAGAAATTATGATTAGAAACTTCTTTTCGTTATTAAAATAAACCAGCAGAGTGCTTAAGTTTTCCGAAAACATTTAAAACTATGTGTGGGGCCATGTCTTATGATATTTTCTTTAAAATATATTTTAGCAAAAAGCTTTATTTTAAAGGTAGAAATGAGTTTTATAAAAAATTGTAAATGAGAAAATTTAATTACAAATCACATAACCCTCGACCTTTAAACACAAAAACTTAAAAAGCATCAATTTCGTAAATGAGTGATATGTTTATGTATCGAGTTTGCTAACGATGGATAATTTACTTTCACTGTGGTACCGGCTCTTATAAGGAGAAAAAAAGTCTAATGCTATCATATTGCAGAATTATATTGCTATTACAATTAGTTATGGCGCTATCTGTTATGAGATTTTACGTAAAAAATTATTATAAAATGGCATAACGCTGAATTTTCACTTTAATTAGTACTTTAAAAACTTAGGGAATGTGAGAAGTAACATTACATCCCAGTCTAAGCACTCATTAATGAAGTGCTCACTTCACTCTTTTCAAAATATTATAAACCCACTCTTTTCAAAATATTATAAAAATATATTTATAAAAACAATTATATAAATACCGGCAGACTTTTCCGGAATTTATTTTAAAAATTTGAATTTAATCATATAATTGAGCTGTAATTTGAAAATATTGTAAACCAATAAATTCTCATTTTCACCTGTCTGCGTGTCATTCCTTTCTTAATCTCGAGAACAAACGAAGATGAAATCAGAAATTAGATAATATTTAAATATTTGGAGCACGAGATACCGATTAACTGTGTACGAATTTTTGGTGAAAATCTTTACTCCTAAAAACAGTTAGTAAATGACCGGCACAACTCTATTACGGAAGGAAAAGTATAATGTAGAGAGACAAGCCACTATTAATTTGAGATGAACAGCATATATTTTAAATTAAATACATTAAAAATGTGATCATAAATTGCAGTACATCATTGTGACGATGTCATAATAAATAATTGCTCGTTTCATTGAAATCAAAAACATCTAAATTAGAATTTTCTTTGTTGTAAGATTATGATCAATTGAATTGACAATATTAAATCTGTCAACTAAATTAAATATTATTGATTATATTAAATTCTATTTAAATCCTTATTCACTATACATGACTTATTCGCAAAGTTTTTCAAACGTTATCATTTCAATTTATATAAATTTATGTATTACGTATTATTCTTATCAGTAGAAAGATACTTTCATAGTATTAAAAGTATTTAGCCTCTTACCTCTTTCGATTTTATAACCAGAATGACTCCAACTAGTTAACCCGTTTGTGTTGTTCCCGGAAATTGGTTTTTCTTTAATAGTTATCTGAAATAATAAAAGATTACGTTATAATGTAAATAATAGTTTATTAAGAATCAGACTGTAATCTGAAAAGAGACATATAAAATCGCATTTCCTTTAGTTTCTACGACTGTTCGACAATCGATTCTTCAGACAACACAGATAGGTGAAAGCTAAAACCAGATGTGGAAAACTTAGAGGCGCGACGCCCCGATTAACTATACAAGAACTTCCGATACAAATTGAAAGTCACGTTATTTCAATCGACTCTATTACTAACAGGAAAAGTTTAGTGTAAACGGGCAAGCCACCACTAATATCAAATGAAGAGCATATATTTTAAATTAATAAAAGAAAAAGTTAATGAAAAATTGCAGCCTGCATTGTGAGGATGTCACAATAAATATCTGCTCGTTGATTGTCTTTTCTTTTTTGCAATTAGAATAAGTTTGAACTTCTTTTAATTTCGGATCTTGTAATGCGTATTAGAAGCGAAGGCATAAAAATCGTGTCGAATTTGACCCTCAGCTTTTGGAAACTTCCACGTTTTAAGACGTTTTTCGGGGTTCAGGAAGAACCCCGAAAAATGCTTAAAAACATGAAGATTTTACTTGTGATTACAAATTACAATATTTAAAAAATACAATTTATGTTTAATATCAAAATTAAACTTTTGCTATTTTATAACAACTAATAATGTAAACAGGTTTTTGAATAAAATTTCGTAACAGATAATGCCACACAATTTTGAAGTTTTTTGCCGGAAAAGTTACGCAACTCGTTTCTAGATTTTTTCGAGACAAATAATTTCAGGTTTCTTATTTTGTGATGATCAATCTTCTATCATTATCAATTTCCAAAGGACTTGATCGAAAATGGAAGAGATCGCGAGTCATGTTCTACTACTGTTTATGCCTGATAGGAGTTAAGAGACTTCAATACATTTTAATTATCTTATAGCTTAAATATCATTGATTCTACAAATATAATACACTAAACTCAAACTACACATACCTGAAATATAAATTTGTACATACGAAAGTCGATACGTTCAAAATATTATGTAGAATTAAGCATGAAATGAAGCAATAATAGTACTTTGAATTATTTTAATTCAAAGTACTGTTTAATTATTAAGCATAATAAATATAGGCTATAAAATTGTATGCATCTGTTAAGATATTTTGTTTAAATAATAGACTATACATATTTTTAATTACAGTAGAGCGTCGTTTATTTGAAAGTCGGTTATCCAAAAGAATTCCAGTCGGCAAATTAAAATTTTCGCTACTGCTGTGGCACTGTAATCTTTAGCTATATCTTGGGCTACTCCAATATTTTTTTGTGGGTGTGTGTATTTTAGCTGGCACCACTGGCACTTTTGTGTGGTGTTTTTCTGAGGACTGTGTGTCGTGCCGAACCGAACGTTTTTGATACTAGATTAAATTCTAAAGTATAAATTTTTTTTGTTTTTATATTTTTCAATACATTTATTTTGTTTGTAAGAAATAAAGAAATAATTTTTAACGACACAATAGCCACGATTATTATTATAAAAAGTTTATATTAGGCTTAACATCGACGAAAATTCAACGCGAAGCAACACGCAACAGAGGAAAATTTCAACATGGGATATTTTTTCGTACATGATCGGTTATCCGAACAAACCCAGTCCCCAATTGATTCGGATAAACGACGCTCTACTGTATTCTAAAATAGCAAAAGACTTAATACAGATGAGTTTATAAAACGTTGTAAATGATAGCAAATAAAATTATCATTAAGTATGATCCCTGGAGAAATATGACACGTGACCAGTGGCGAGCCGTCTATGGAGGCCGTGCAAAGACCGCTTTCCTTGTATTTTCTAAAATATAAATACATATTGTGCGATTATTTTCACATTTTAACGTACACTGAATTGAATAAAATTAATATTTTATTATAATCGCATTATGTATCTTATTACATATTTCTATACTACATGTGAAAAACAATGATGAGATTCGAATATAAATTTCCAATGGAAACGCCGTATTGTCGAATACGGAGAAAGTATTCGAATAGAGTAAAGCTACGTATTACATCATGCATTCGCGTATGCGCTTTACAGAGCAGCAACCTCACGCGGTTGAGCTGGTGGATTCTACACACTAAAATATCGTATAACGCTTCGAATGATTCTATCCAGGGCCAGCATAGCTTCCCTATTATCAAATGTCACCGCACCCATCTGCAAATGACCACCCTCTATCTCTCCATCCTCTTGACCTTTCACAACGAAAGTTTAGTAGCATCAATGTCCCTTATATACAAGCTTCAATGCGGAATTTCGTTCCTTTATCTTCACCCTGTGCTGAGATATTAAGCGAAATAGACGTCAACAAACAAACAGACACACACACACACACACACATTTATATATACGAAATCAGTTTGGATTTTCCGGTTCAGAAAGTTTCAAGACGTGGAGATTTGCAAAAATGTCAGAGGGTCAAATCTGACAGGATTGAGTTACTTTTCCTTGTTATGAAGTTATAACAACCGACAATGTAAAACGTACAATTATGAAAAACGTGACTTCATATAATAGGAACAGATAATTGCCAGTCAGCTGTAATATATACACAAGAATATACGAGTAACAATAAAAATATACATGTAAAAAATTTTAAAGTCAGTCGGACCACAAAATTCCGTCAGTAAAAAAAGGGTTATTTTTTTAAAAACGAACACCGTGGCCAAAACGTTAAATTTATAGTAAAGAGCCGAAATGACTTTCATTTGAAATCGAAAATAACGTAGTTGTGCTTAAAACTCGTGGGGCCATTATTTATTCAAATACAGTAGAGCGTTGTTTATCCGAATCAATTGGGGACTGGGTTTGTTCGGATAACTTATTTTTCGGATAACCAATTATGTACGAAAAAATATATTAATTTATCCCGTGTTGAAATTTTTCTCCGTTGCGTGTCGCTCGCGTTGAATTTTAGTCGATGTTAAGCCTAACGAAGACTATTGTATCGTTAAAAATTATTTATTTATTTTGTACAAACAAAATAAATATATTGAAAAATATAAAAACAATAAAAAGTTATACTTCAGAAGTTAATCTAGTATCAAAAACGTAAAATATTTGAGTAGCCGAAGACATAGCCAAAGATTACAGCGCCACAGCACTGGCGAAAATTTAAATTTGTCGACTGGAATTCCTTCGGATAACTGACGTTTCGGATAACCGACCTTCGGATGAACGACGCTCTACTGTATACTGTTTAAAAAAAATTTTTTTTTCTATTTTCCACCTTATATTTTAGCATTTCAGTTGTGTTTCTCGTCCATAAAGTAACACCGCGATCTTACGATAAGTATTTTACACTCACCTCTAATGGTTCTGATTGAATTGTTTTATAACACTTCACATCTGTATTAAATTCTTTCTTGAAATTATTTAAATCAACTTCCAATTTTTCTTCGTTACGTTCAATCGTAAAGTCCGAATGTTTTGTTTCTAACTCTTCTTTTGTCTTCATTTTCTCGAATTACGATATTGTCAACAATCTGTATTCAATCAAAGAATTAATTAATTAATAAATGTTCATTCGAAATTTAGAACAAGCAATAAGGAAAGACCAGTAAACTCATTGGGGGTGCACTCTCAAGGTAAGGGATTCCAGTGGTAACACGTCTCCAGACGTGATACTTGCAGCTATAAAATCACGTGTTATATGGTTAATAGTTAACCATTTTGGTTACTGTTACCTTAGGTTCCAACATGTCGTCCGGTAATCTCGAATCAGAGCGTTAATTGGTATTCTCGATAGATGGCGATATCTGATAAAAAGTGTGACGAAATACGAAAAACTGTTGAACATGACGTAAACTTTGATTTGTGTGAATATGCAGAATATTTGATATGACGTAGTAACTGGATGTTTCGCCTGTAATTATGCAAATTAACTGATAGGGAGTCATTTGCTACAGTCTGTCGTTGAGTGTTTAGTGCATCTTTGTGTTGTTTCTATAGTATTTTACTAATGTTTAAATTGGGGTTTAAAATTCATTTTTAATATCAACATCAGAGTTAAAATATATTTATTTATGAAATATTAATAAACACGTATTAAAATTTATGATAAAAATTAAATTTGCGTGTGTCGTTGATATTTGGAGGCCCAGGGCTCGAGCAGTGGCGTAGCGAACATAACTGGCGCCCGGGACACGACACTTTATTGACGCTCCCCCCTCCCCTCCCCTCCAGAAACAAGTCTTCTTTGTCTTGGAAGCCATATGGCGCCCTCTGCGAGTGACGCCCGGGGAATGTTAGACTCCTTTCCCCCTCGCTACGGTAGTGGGTTTGAGTCCTATTAGTCTCTATTTCAGTGTTTTTCAACCTGTGGGTCGCGACCCCCAGGGGGGTCGCGAAGCCTTACACGGGGGGTCGCGGGTAAAAGAAAAAGACAAATGTTCGTAGGTCCTACACTACATTAAAAAACTACAATTTCAGCAAGAAGGCTGTATCTGTTTATTATNTACCGTGTTATAGGAAGTCGACTGTATTTTTCACTCACCTCTAAGGGTTCCGATTTAATTGTTTTATAGCACTTCACATCTATATTGTATTCTCTCTTGAAATTTTTAAAATCAAGTTCAAATTTTTCTTCGCTTCCTTCAATTGTAAAGTCCGAATGTTCCGTTTCTAACTCTTGTTTTATCTTCATTTTTTCTATTTGCGATATTCTCGTATGTCAACAATCTGTATTCAATTAATTAATTAATTAATTAATTAATGTTCATTCAAAGTTTAGAGCAAGTAATAAGGAAAGACGAGTAAACTCATTGCTATTGTTCCCGTTGTACCAGTAAACAAGGGATGCACTCTCAAAGTTAACGGAAGAGATTCCAGTGGTACACGTCACCAGCACACGTGATGCAGCTATAATATCACGTGTTATGTAGTTAATAGTCAAGAATTTTTAAATTGGGGTTTAAAATTAATTTTTAATAACATAAACATCAGAATTGAAATATATTAATATTTGAAATATTAATAAAAACATATTAAAATTTATGATAATAATTCAATTTTTGTGCGCCCTTGACACTTGGGGGCCAAGGGTTTGAGTTTTAGTCCTTATGTAGATTTGCTTCTGACTACGTAGCCTGATAGTTTAATGTTAACTCTCTTATAAATAAAAGATAGAATTAAAAGACAATTTAAATAGCAGGAAAATTTGTAAAATAAATGAATAAAACTACCAACAAATAAAAATGAATATAAGTTTGATTATCTTTTGTGCAAAACAACACTAAAATCATTTTAAATAGTTATATGGAAAGAAACGACAGTTGCAATTAATTAAAAATAGAATAATTAAATGCAAAAAATTCAATGCAAAATTAATATTACCCGATGATCTAGATTTTATAATTTACTTTTAACAAAATTTTGTTAAATTTTTTCGATATTTTCTTCTATTTTTGTAAAACGAAATTAAAGGAAAAACATTCTTTTCTGTTAATATACACCAACGCTTTCTAACCCATTATCCCTTGGCCTCTTTGTGCTCTCTGAGCGGTAAGGGGCCTAAAACCACAAATAAAAAAAAAACCTATTATCCCTTGCGTGAGAAAGACTTGGAAATATTTTTAAGAAAAACTTTTCTATGAAATTTGCACTTTGTATTTTTACCGTACATTGTTCTGCAAATATGGAAATCATTAAACGCAATGTTCCTTCTCACCCATTTTAAAAGAGTTAAGAAAAAAGATTGTCAGTGACCCCAATCTTACGGGACATTCGAATTTTCAACGCTGACTCAGCGCTCGTTAAAATTCGTTCCTTTTTTCAACGTTGAGGTAGCGCTGTTGTCAGCGCTGACTCATCACACTCAGCACTCAACAGATATGCTGACTGCTACTTTACAATGAATTGTGGGTAATTGGAACGACATTTGAACGAAAAATGGCGACCATGAAGGAGATGCACGTTACTGTGGATGGCAAAAGATATCATTTTGTGGTAGATGAAAAAACTGGAAAAATGATGACAGAAGGTAAGATTTTAAAAAAATTGAATATCATTTCAAGTAAGCGATAAATTTATTTTTCATTGTTTTTGTCAGATCACAATTATTTACTGGCATGTATAAACAAACTTCGATGTGAGAATGAGAAGAGTTCATCTACAGGTACTGTACATATTTTATATTAATAACAAATTGAATGTTGTATTTAACCAAATAGATAATTATTGTTTTCATAAATTTTAATAAAATTCCTCTTATTTTATTTTTTACATATATATTCAATGATAGAACAATCATCATCTGAAAGATCAGAAACAAATGTACAGTCTGTACAACTTTCAGAAACAGAAAAAATTGGTAAGTATATATTAAATAATATACAATAAGGATACTTTGTAATTATTATATATTGAGATTTTCTTTTAATTAATGCAATTCAAATTGAACAAATAAACATAAATAGCAGCTTTATATTAAATATAGACAATATACATTTGATAGAATAAGTGTTCATTAATTAATTTTTTGATTAATTATTTTTAAATGTAATAGTTCAAAAAAATTTTCTTGACAATACCAAAACAGTATGTAGTATTATGTATATTATATCAGATATCAGAGATTTTGTGTAAATAATAAATTATAGCAAACTATATAAGAATGCAAAATAAAGATTTTTTTTTTT